GTCAAGTAGAGCAAGGATGGCTGCGCTACTCCCATCCTGCTCCCGCCAGATGTCATCCAAGAATGCAATCAGTGCTATCTCAGTTCCATACCCAGGCCTGAACCCTGACTGAAAGGGGTCCAGCTTATCTGCTTCTTCCAGAGTCCTCTGAAGCTGCAATGCAAGAACCTTCTCTACAACCTTCTGTAGAAAGGGAAGGTTGGAAACTGGATGAATATTGTCCAGAATGGTAGGGTTTAGTGATGGCCCCTTGAACAGCATTTAAACAGTAAATAATTTGGTGTAAATTATAAACGCCTGTTACTTCACCCTTCATCAAATTCTGGATATGAGAGCCATGAGAAATGTAGGGGGAAGCATTCTTAGGCCAGTAGTTTCTAACTCTTGCCTTGTATAAAATAACAAGCAAAGTACATTTACTCCTAGACACTTTCACAGAAATCCCCAGACAGATTTCCCAGTACTGGCTTCCTCTTTCATGCCCTTTGACATCAGACTTTTTTCACCACCCACATGCATCAATAAAATGAAATTCCAAATGACTATTTTCAGCTACTTGGCCATTCACCCACTCTTCTAATGAGTTTTGCTGTGCAGAGCTAAAGCTAGAAAATCCTTTTCCTCTTCTACATGTGGAAGTTGCATTAACTTTCATGGGATTTGCCTTCAGGCAGCAAACGAAAGGGAATATAAGGTCATACAAGGAAAAAACAGCATGCAGACACTGCAGAGTATACCCTGAAAACAGAGAAAAGGAGAAAGCAACGCATGTGATTTTATGGGCAGTGATCACACAGGTTTACTTCACATGTTCTAGAAAACTAACCAGTGGTAACTTTCAAGTATGAAGTGAAATGGAAGATTCGTTTATCATATATGACAAGCTTAATATAGCTTTCTGTTTTTTACCCCAGATCTCTAATAAGAATAGCCCATGGCTTAGATAAGCATGAAGGAGCCAGAACACTCACTATCATTCGTTTTTTCCTTGTTTGGCCCTTCTTGGAGATCTCCTCTTGGAGCATACGTGCTCTATATAAAGGATATAACCTCTACATAGAGATATAAAAGATGTAGCCAGGTGGCAATATTATTTCCTTGATATGTACTCACCTAAAATGCTAAGTAGCTGCTGTATAGTTGAGGTAACTGTCTATAGCAGTGTTTCTCAGCCTTAGCAACTTTAAGTTATGTGGACTTCAACTCCCAGAATTCCCCAGCCAGCATGGGGAATGTTGAAGTCCACTCATCTTAAAGGTGCCAAGGTTGAGGAAGACTGGTCTATAGGAAGTGAACAGAAGGCATCTATTCCTTCAAAATGATTGGCAGTAAGATGCAACATCCAGCCAGGGGCATTTGGAATTGGAGTTATCTGACATAAAAGTTTTCACAGTTTGAAAAATTCCATTTTGAGCGATTCCAGACCTTTTTGAATTCAGGAATGGTTCACTTTCTTCACTAACCTATCTCCCCTGTCTTGGTGATTTCTCCTTATTTTATTTATTTTTTATTTATTAATCAAATTTATATGGCTGCCCATCTCACAAAAAGTGATTCTGGGAAGCATACAACAGTCCAATAAAACAATAAATACAGTAGTTATTAAAAACATCAAAAAATTAAAAAATAAATGTTTTATAGTTTGTTTCTCCTTCTGAGAACCATTCTCCTGAGCGTGTTATTTGAACATCCTTTTCTGTCAGGTAGCATTGAATTTGTACATTTTTCTGCTCCAAGACTGAATCAGCAAACTAAAAATCCCTTGCCCTCTTCCAATGTCATGCCCAGTAATGCTTAGATTTTGGGGTAAGCCAAATCCTTGAAAATAGAAGTGTCCAATAATAACTCCTACCTTCTGTAACCATTTATCATTTTCTCTTCTACAAGTTGATATTAATATCAGTGGGAATTGCAAAAGTATAAATCAAATAAGAATAAAATTTGAGTCATTTCTTTTCCTTTGGACAGAAGGATCATTAATGAAAGGTAATAGTGGCTTCCTTCTCTTCTCTTCCTCAGTTCTAAAACTCAGACATGAAATAAAACAAAATGCCTGCATGAGGGGAACTGCATGTATAATACAGTGACTTACTTTCATGAACAACTTATAGCATACTTACTGAAACCACGGAGTTTCAGAGTTAGGATATGTAAGGGCACATTGATAGCATTCACGCACACTTTTTAGTGATATTCATCTATTCATAGATGTCTATCATCGCACTTTTTTCATTCCTCTCCAATATTCTAAAACTATGTTGGAATATATTTTTTTAATTATTAAAAAAAAGATTCTCCCATTCTTATAATGCTAAAGGTGGTATTTTACAATAATCTTCAGAGTTTCACAACTTGAACAAATTCTCAAGCCAACTTTTTAGCATAGTATCAAGCAGCTAGAAGGTACTTCTCCACATGCTACGACACAGTCCCTCTGTGGTCCCAACTGGATTATACCCAATGAAGGAAGCACCGTTGGCCCCCTGCTGCAGTACCTGGGCTTCAGTTCATGGAACGGTGATCTGCTGGAAGAGACATATACAGTGTCGGGGATATGAATCCAGTGGCACTGACTCCTTGGCTCCTCATGACCTCGTGACTACAAGGGAGCAATGGGTTGGAGATGGAGAATTAAGGATTTACTCCTCTTTATCTATCACTCTTAATTTAAGGTGTTGCTAACCTCACGTTACTTCCTTCTGATTTTGATCCAAGCGCACATAAGTAAGCACGTGCTCTTTGACTCTCCTCCTGATAAATACAGTTAGCTTGGTGCTAGGTTTTGCCTACCTGTGTACAGTAATGTATTTCCTGGAAAAAGGATCTCCTTTTTATTATAGTTACTAAACCTACTTCACTAATCATTTGTTCAGGTCAGATCAGGTCATGCACACACAGAACACATCAGTCTCCAAAATGTTACATAGAATACAACCTCAATAAGCGATTCTTATTCACTTGATGTCATATTTAAACTGGATTTCAGTTACCTTAGCTAATGCGAAGGTATTAAAAATGTGTCATTCCTCCCTACCCATTGTCTGTGCATGTCTGTTTCTGCTGATATCTGTACTGTATTGCCCTTTCTAGTTATGTATTTCTTTTAGTGTTCTCAGAGGCATCTGGTTTGAACTACAGAACAGTATTCTTAATCGAATAGTATTAAGTATTACTTTTTTCCCATGAAGTGGTTGCTTGCACTAATGGTGAGAACATTTAAGAACTCCATGAAAGCCAGGAAGAAGAAAGCAAAAACAGCAGGTCAGCTGATCATGCTTGTATTTATTTTGTCTCCACAGGGTCATCCTGGTCAGGCAGGATCAAGAGGAAAACCAGGCCATGATGGTTGCAATGGGACCAAGGGGGATCCTGGTCCACAGGGAATTCAGGGATCTGGAGGCACTCCTGGTTCTTTTGTAAGTTATGAACACTGAATAGGTAAACGTAAATCAAGAGTAGAAGGTTCCCTTCCACTAAGTGAGAGAAAAGTAAAAGGGTTTCTAGTGCTGGAGGAAGCCTAGCATTCTTGTGAATTTGCCACATTAGGATTATATGCTGAAGTCCTACAAAAACTGCATTGCCTAAAGCTGAAAGATATAGGTAGTGTTCAATTTACGACCAGTTGTTCAGCAACCATTCCAAGTTATGACATTGCTGAAAAAGGAGAATTATGACCAGTCCTTGAAATTGCAGCCATCCCAGCACCCCTGCAGTCACATGATAGCTATCTGGGTGCTTGGCAACCCATTCCCACTGGTTGCCAGGCACCCTGAAATCACATGATTGTCATTTGCAACCTTCCATGCTGGCTTCTCCAGAAAGTCAAAGGGAAAGCCAACAGGGAAGATCGCAAGTTGCAGGGGTAAGTCTGCGTCCCAATTGCTGGCGTAAGTCAAGGGCTTCCTGTAATTATAAGAAGTAAATTCCAGATTAACTAGTACTCATTTTGGAAAACTTTGGAGTTCAGTCATCCTGTGTG